CCCGGGCCGGGAGGAGCCGCGCGTGTGTGCCCGAGGGGCGCCGGCCGGCCCGCGCGTCCCAGTTCCCCCGGGCTGGTGGGTGTTCCGCCCGGAGGGGCTGTCCCAGGTCGTGGTCCCGCGGAACCGAGGCGCTGCCGGTCCCCCGAGACCGTGCACCAGCTGCGAGTTTCTCAGCGGGTAAAACGACCGCCCTTCTCTAGTTCGTGCGTGAGGGCGAGCATTTGAAATTGCCTCATAAATGGTAAAAGTACACAAAAGAATGCGTAGAGAACACTTCTAGTCCTACAAAGATCAAAAAATTCCGAAGACACGGAGTAGTCGTTCTTCCCCTGAGAGGTGGAGTCCGAGACTCACACAGCTCCGCCTCACGGTACCGTGCAGTCACTATAAAGTGATACAGGATTTGCATATGACCTATGCAGGCCTCCCAGATACGTTAAATCACCTCCAGGTTACTTGTAGTAATCAGTACAATGTAAATGCTTACCAAACAGTCGTGACACGGGATAGTCTAGGGACGGATGCAAGAGATAGTCTGTATGTTCAGTATGATGTAACTTTTTCTCCCAAGGATTTTCAGTTTGCAGTTAGTTGAGTCTGAGGAAAGGGAGGGCCAACTGTACTAGTTTCCCAAGATTCTAAGCCTCAAATTTCACTTTTTCTTTTACCAGGCTGAGTCTCTGGTTGTGAGCTTTCGGGTAAATACATTAGGCATGTTGGAAGTAGGTTCTCCATCACAAAATCATACTAAAGGAATGATTTTCACACTTAAAAATTTTGCCAATACGTGTTTAATTTACATTGATGTGGCATTATCTCGAAATTATTTCAGTGTTAGGAGCTTGTTACATATATAAGCTGATTTTGAAATTGCTTGGAGAATCTAGAAATTATGAGTTTATAGTATTTGCTCTACCACTCATAATTGTTAGCCATGGGTAATTCCTTTCACCTTTTCTGCGCTTACTTTTTCTCATCTTTAATATTAGTATATTCTATTAAATATCTGTTCAGTTAAGTCTCTTCCAGGTATATATATATTTTTTTTCAGTCTAGTTACAACCTAGCAGAAATGACCTCGTTTTAAAAGTTGTTTGTTTTTGTAACTTACCTGTAAGCTACACTGACTTAAATAAGGCTTATAATCAAGAAGTTCTTGTTTAACATAGAGATTCTCATGGTATGGTTCGGAGACCAGCATCATTATCATCACTGTGGAACTTGTTAGACACTACTATTTTAAAGGAGAAATAGGGTGATGATCTCACTCAAGACTTAGAGAATCACTAACGCTGGTGGCTAGGAGCAGCAGTCTGAATTTAACAAGCCCTTAGATGTCTGATACATGTGAGAGTTTGAAAAACACTGGTTTAAATCAGTGGTCTCTTATTTTCAGTGTTCATATCTGTAGATCTCCCAGTACATGCCTGAAACTTCAGGTAGCACTGAACCCTGTATATGCTTTTGTCCCCCATATGTACCCATCTATGATAAAACTTGTCGAGTCCTGTGCAGCTCTTGAAGCTTCAGAGAGAGGATAGGGGTGAGGTGGGGTGCGGAGGTGAAGAAAGACGGGAATCAGTATACAAAGGCTGAGGTCAAGTGGAGCCCCTTCTCCTGATGGGAGAAAGCAGACTGCCCAGCACATACAGTGCATTTATTTATACATCAGCATAACAAAAACTTACATCAGCACTGATTAAATAATAAAGTAGAACAGTTATAACAATATACTGTAATAAAACTTATGTGAATATGTCTATCTTAAAATACTTTATTGTAAAAAAAAATTATTGTACTGTAACTCACCCTTCTTTAATGATGACTTAATACTTAAAGGGAACATTTATGTCTTCTCATTGGCCTGTCTGAATTTGCAGCATTACTGTTCTTGCCCTTTGTCTTAGTTACTTTTCTCTGACTGCTGAGACAAAATACCTGACACTCAAAGTTAGAGGAGGAAAAGTTTATTTAGCTCACAGTTTGTAGAGGTTTCAGTCCATAATCAGCTGGCTCCAAGGCAGAGTGGCATGGCAGAGAACAGTTATGGCAGGCAGAAAGTAGCAAAGCCACAAGCAGGGAAATAAGCCTCTTTCTGCCCCTTTTATTTTATGCAAGTGGCTGGAATTAGGATGGTGCCAATCCAGTCAGTGGAGTGATCCAGCAACCACCCACGCTTAATCCTAGCACCCTTAATACCAGCGTTGCACTCTAGATTCAGCCACCTCTGAAAAAAACACTGGGACCACGTGAGGCTTTGCGGGACATCTAGACACAAACCTAACACACTTTGAGGCCGTTAATTAGTAAAATAAAGGTTACTTGAACAGAAGCGCTGTGATACTGCAACAGTTGACCTGATAAGCCAGATGGCTACTCATGGGGTGTAGACATACTGAACAGAGAGACAGTTCATATCCTATGTGGAATACAACAGAACTGTGTTGTATTTTATGAAGTTATTCAGAATGGATGTAATTTAAAACTTCTGAATTGTTTATTTATGGAATTTTCCATGTATTATTTTGGGCTATAGTTGACCACAAGTAACTGAAACCACAGAGTGTGAAATGATGCATAAGGGGAGTCTCTTGTATTATTTGAGTTAAAACTTTTAAGTTAAAATGCTTAACATCTCCTACTTAAAATACATATTTAAAATACATCTTCTGTCAATGACTGAATACATTTTGGAGGTATTTCTGACTGACATTTCTGATTAACTTTTGTCCTCATTTATAGTAAATTTTCATTTTTGAAGAGTAATGGAAATTAATTTAGAATGGACCAAATTGCCCAATTGTAAGAGCTAAAATCATAATCTTAGAGGAAAACATAGGTGTAAATTTTCTTAACCTTGGTATAGATATTTTTTTCTTAGATGTAAAACCATGAGTATCAGCGTCAAAGAAAAAATAGATAAATTTTACATCATCAAACTTAAAAACTTTAAACTGGGCATGATGGCACATGCCTGTAGTCCCAGCATTTCAGAGGCTGAGGCAGGAGGAGTGCCATGATTCATGTTGAGGCTAGCCTGGACTACATAGTGAGGTCAAGACCAGCCTGAACTACAAAGCAAGACCCCATCTCAGAAAAAAAAAATTAGAAACTTTAGTCTTCGACAGAATACTGTTAAGATGAAAAAACTTCACAGAATGGGAGAAAATGAATAAATAAATAAATAAATATATATATAAATATATGATAAATTCTAATATCCAGGACAATAAGGATTGTTATAACCCATATAAGACAACCCAGGTTTTAAAAATGGGTAGAGAAGCTGAGTGTGGTGGAACATGCCTGTAAGCATACTGGGAAGCAGAGGTAGGAGGATTGCAAGATTTGAGCCCAGGCTGGCTGGGAAACTTAATGACTTAGCGAGACCTTGTCTCAAAAAAGGGGATGGAGCAGGGATATAGCTCAGTGCTAAGGCCGTGTATTCAATCTCCAGTACCACAAAAAACAAAAACAAAAAGCTGGGGCAAAGAAAATGAACAGCTGTTTTTCCAAAGCGATATACAAATGGCAAATAAACACATGAAAAGATGCTCGACATCACTGGTTATCAGAAAAATGAAAATCAGTGTCACACTAAGATAATCCACACCCATTAGAGTAACTCTACTCAAAAAGAGGGACAATGGCAAGTGTTGACTGGGACATGGAGAAATTGGCAACTTTATACATTGCTGATGGTATGTGAAATATTGCAGCCACTTGGAAAAACAATTTGGCAGCTGGCCCAAAAATTACAGTTACCATATGAGCCAGCAATTCCATTTCTAGGTATATATCCGAAGAGTTGAAAATATATTCATGCAAAAACTTGCACACATATGTTTATAGATGTGTTACTCATAAAACCCAAAAAAGGGGAGCCAGCCCAAATGTCCATTAACTAATAAACAGATAAAGCAAAATGTCATGTTAATACTCAGCCATAAAAATGAATGCGGTCCTAAAGAAAAAAAAAAAAAAAAAGTGAATACAGTCCTGATACATATGCCATTATGGAAGACCTTTGGAAATATGCTACATGAAAGAGGCCAGACACAAAAGGGTACCTACTATATGATTTCATGTATGCGAAATGTGCAGATCTGGCAGATCATAGAGGCAGAAGTTAGATTAGTGGGTGGCAGGGACTAAGAGAAATGGAGAGTGACTGCTGAGGACCTCAAGTTTATTTATGGGATGAAGAAAATGTTCTGGAGTTAGATGGTGATAGTTGCACACCATGTAAATACGCTAACCAGGAGAATTTGATAGTATGTAAATAATGTCTCAAAAAAGTAATAACGTTATTAGTTCACATGTATACATACTTTTTAAAGGTTCTGAGAAGCCACATATATTTGGTATTATGCTTACTGGTATAATGAGATTAAACAAAATTTTCTCAATTTACTGGTACACCTAAAATGGTATTGGCTTTAAAGAACAAAGTATATCACTGAAAACTACTATTTTTTAGTTAACTAGCCTTCTCCCACTTCTCATCCCCCAAATTGCCTAAAATACTGACTGGATTTGAATGACATTCCTGGGACTCTTTCCCGAATTCCCAAGTAATGCATATTAAGTATAGTGCAATATTTGTTTACACTTTCTTTCGAAATAAAACTTACAAGGAAAAGCAGAAACCACAAGTATGTATTTGTTGAGTTTTCACACATGCATGTCTCTGTGACCCAAACTCTTGTCAAAATATAGAACATTTATCTTCACCCCAGAAAATTACCGTACCCTTTTTCATTTGACCTCTGCTATATTCAAGAAACAACCACTGTTCTGATTGCTTTCTATCATAGATTAATTTTGCATGTTCTAGAACTTCATAGAACTGAAATAACGGGTAATGTACTGTTTTATGTAAGGCTTCTGTCACTCGGCATAGTTGAGACCATTTGTATTGTTATATATGTCATCAGTGTATTCTTTTATTGTGGTTGGATAGTGTAAACAATACATTGTATAAATAACCAACATTCCACCGAGCATGGCACACACCTGTAATCCTAGTACTCCAGGCTGAGGCAGGAGGAGCACCTCAAGGTGGAGGCCGGCCTGGGCTACAAATGAGTTCAAGGCCAGCCTGCACTGCATAGTGAAATCCTGTCTCAAAAAGAAAAAAAACAAAGAAAGAACAAAATGACATTTTGCGTGTGTCTTTCAGTGATAGACACCTGGTCTGTTTCTAATTTTTTGCTATTCTGAATAAAACTGGTATAAACATTGTTACAGGAATCTTTCTGTAAATGTGCATTTTTATTTCTCTCAGATAGATACTGTAGAGTGGAACTGCTGTGTCATAAAAGGTTAATTTTATGAAACTACCAGATCTCTTTCCAAAATTGTGTCATTTTACACTCCTACCAGCACTGTATGAATATTCCAGTTGCCTTGCATCCTCACTGACATTATGTGTTGGTCTTTTTAATTTTAGTCATTATAATGAGGGTATACTGTTTTTGTCTTGAATTTTAATTGACTATTACATATGTTTCCTCTGCACTTGATACTAAGCTCCATGAAAATCAGGGTAACCAACTGTACCCCTCTTTCAGTGCATGTCAGCATTCTTTCAGTATAAAGTGTGGAGTGGCTGAGCTAGTGATGTTTGAAGTGCCTGAGGCCTGCCCTGAGGGCACAGAGCCCCCAGGCAAACAGGTGTTCCAGCTCCAAGAACAGGGGGTGTGAGAGGCAAGCTAATTCAGCAAATGGATGTCTATGGGATTAATAGTATCCCTTAGTCATTGCAGGCTGATCAGGTTCACAATCTCCTGAATGAGTGTACGTGAAGGCTAAATAAAAAGAGGCAAATGGAATGATTTCAGGGCTCCAGGAGGATCAAAGCTCTCTCACATAATTCAAGATTCTCTCAGGGCTAAGACTAAGACCTTCTCTGGGTCACCCGTATTTATTTGGTTATCAGAAGAAGGGAGGGGAGTACTCAAGAAGGGCAGAACCACTCAAGGACTTCTCTAAGTAAGGTATTAAGTTAATCTACTGAAGAATGAGATGCCTGAGGCTGTAGTCTTTATCTAATTGAGATCTGATCCAGATGTCCTTGGCTGTGATCTTATCTTATCCTTGAGGCTTTCTGGTTTTGTCTACCACTACAGGTTTTAGTAGGAATTAGTGACTCACAGAGAGGTTCACTTGCTACAAGTCACTATTTCCAGATAAGGAGCCTAGGCCTTGGACAGATTCACAAATGAACATGAAAAGCCAATTGATTAAGTCCTGCTCAGGTCTGCTTCATAGTCGTCTCCATCAGGTGTCCTATGACAAACGTATAAATAAACGCATTGTAGTGGTTGAGCAGTTCCTTTCCTCCCATTGGGAGAAAGGGCTCCACCTGACCTCAGCTTTCTGTCTCTTATCTTTATTTCTCCATCTTCTCACCCTACCCCCCAACTTCCAGAGCCACTTGGGCTATGGCAGAAAATGTGGAATGATGAAATAATTGTGCTAATTAATGTTTTAACATTTAATTTTGGGAATTTGAAAAAAAATAGAAGCCATAGAAACATGTTAAGTTTGACCAGAAAGATTGTTAGTTATACTTCACTGAATTAGGAATTATTTCTGGGAACTGTGCTTAGCATGCATAAGGTCTTTGGTTAAACCCCAACACTAAAGAAAAACAGAATTCTTCTACCAAGAACATATTCACACTGCTGATTTTTCACAGGTACAAATGATGCAAAATGTGCACCTGGCTCCAGAGACTGACGAAGATGACCTTTATTCTGGATATAATGACTACAACCCAACCTATGACACCGAGGTAAAAAAAAAGAAATCCAGTTGTTTTTTACATTGATTTTGTTTGTTAACCAGCTTAGCTGATTCATGAAGACTGGTGAGGTTCTCTGCTTTTTTATGCTTAAGATTAAATAGGCGGATTCAGAAACATAGAAAAGTGCTGTTACTGAAGACTCTAACTCATATCCACAGTAAAAGTGCAGCCGAATGAAAGATCATGAGAGAGGCTATGTTACTATATTAAGATAAATTATATACTTGAATTCTTTAGCATTAGCTATATGAATGTGTAAGGTAAAGACTTAAATCACCTGAGGATACCTAATTTGGGTTGCTAGTGCTCTTGAGTTTGAAATGCCATGTAGTTATTTTTCTTCTACTTATATTGTATAAGTATTTTAAAGAAAAACTTAGAGATATGAGTATAAAGAAAAATCAAAATCCCTGAAACCATCACTACTCAGAAGTAACCTTTAACTTGTTGCTTGTTATGGCTTGTGTCTAGATGTCCCCCATGGCCTCAGGCTGTCATAGGCGGGACTTTTTTGAGGTGGCTGGATGAAGAGTGTGTGATGCTGAGATTAAGGATGTGTAATTACTAAATTAGTCTACTGACTGATTTGGTACAGTTCTAGGTGTGGGTAATGGGAAGGCCTACCCAGTTTGAGTGCTACCTGCCCTAAGGGCAGGTAGCCTGGATAGACTATAAGGGAGGAAAAAGGGCTGCTGTCATCGTTGTCTGTTTTACTACTTTGTTGCTTACTGTCTTCCTGCCTTCTGCCTTCTGTGTACTGTTTCTTCTGTATGATGTTCCTATGCCAAGCCACCCTGTCTTGGAGCCAGCTGATTATGGACTGAAAGCCCACAAACTAAGCCAGAATAAACCTTTCCTCCTTTAACTTTGGATGTCAGGTATTTTGTCTTAGCAACAAGAAAAGTAACTAAGACAGAACTTGCACTGCCAAACATTTTTCCCTATGCAAATACATGGATATTTCTATGTTTTTTTGTAAAATGGGATCTGATTGTGTACTGTTATGTAATCGCTTTTGCTCTTCCATAAATGTTCCATTTATGTTAAGAAATCTCTATCTGCTTAATATTTAATGGTATAGTAATTTCAGAGATGATATTTTAGAGGAATATTTTAGATCTGTTTCCATCTCTTTTGAAAGCTTTAGTAAAAAACTAGTGTGAGAAAAAGTAAGGATGAAGGATGTGGTTGTTAACATATTTGTAAGTATATAAGAAACAAATACTAGCATTTATAGGACTTTAGGAAATCTGATTCTATTCTAGAGTTTTCATATGGCTTTTAGTAATTTTTAAAGTGTGATTTTCTTTGGAGTAAAGCCATGATCTGTGGATTTGAGACCTGTAAAGGAAACAACAGAGAAAGTAGAAACCATTCACTTATTCTATATGAAATAAAAATCTAAATAATACCAATTATTAGCAGAAAATTTGAAACATATAGAACATTAGAAGAAGATAGTAATGAAATAACATCCTGTCACCCAAAGATCACGTAAACTGGATGTATAATTTGATATTTTGCTGTATACTCTTGTCTTTTAATATACATAGGTTCTTCTTGTATACAAACACACAGTGTATGCAGATATGATTATGTAGTGTCTTTTCTAAAATTTGCATTATAACAAGTATTTTCTGGTTAGCATAAATTAATAAAACTATTAGTGATGGGTAAGCTTGATTGTGGCAACTTTATTGGCTTGGGAGCCACCCAGGGGATCAGTGGAGCACACTTCTGGGTGTGTTTGAGTGGGTCATGGAGGTGTGACCTTGGGTGCTATATCTGGTTTCTGGACCCTTTCTCTCAGGACACTGTTCCCCTGTTCTGCTTCCTGGCAACCGTGAACTAAGCAGCTGTGCTCCACTATACCCTTCCACCAGGATATTTCTGCCTTGGAGCCAGCTGACCATGGACTAAAACCTGTAAAACATGAGCCAGAATAAGCCTGTAGTCCTTTAAACTGTGGAAGTCAGGTACTTTGCCCCAGTAATGAGAAAGTGGCTGATATACCATTGAAACTTTCCTATTCTCCCTGTTATAAAAGTAATACATGCTTATTGTTGAAAACAAACTTGCCATCACTCAAGAATAACTCCAGTTAACATTTTGTTTTTCTTTTTTATATTTGGGATTGAACTAGCATTTACTTTTCTATGTGCTTTTTAACATTCAACTACATCATAAGCATTGTCTTATGATACTAAAATTTAAATATGATTTAATGACTGCATAATACTGAAAATACAGAGTCGATTAGAAGTATTTTCTCATAGGTTATTTTTTCATAGTTTTCTGCAATGTTAAATAACATTACAATAAACAATTTTTGCATGAATAATTTCTTTTTTTTGTTTTGTTTTTTTTCCTGTACTGGGAATTGAACTCACAACCTTGCACTTGCCAGGCAGGCACTGTGCCACTGAGCTAAATCCCCAGCCCCTAATAATTTCTATATTTTGATCAAACATTTTTAGGATAGAATCCCAGGGTGAAATTAATGGATTGTGAAGATGATCCTTTTTAAAGCACCAGAGAAACAACCTACCATCTCAGGTTGTCACAGTGTGACTTCATGATTTACTTTGAAGCAACACACAAGGTATCAGACCCAAAAATACAGTTTGTGGTTGATTTTCCTTGATTTTAATTAGCTATAACAATGTGTTACATGATCTAATTGCCTGAAACAATGGCTTCAGATGTTCATAGAATATGGAATTTGTTAGTCAAGGCATGAAGAAAAAGTTACAAAAAGTTATGTTTGGAGTTTGTAATTAGACAAATTTATAGATCATGCTTTTCAGTTTGTTATTTAGTTATCACTGATTGGCTGATTAATGAAATTTTGCTAACAGTTTAGGAATCTTAGCGGACAACCTTTTGCCAAAAGATTTGCCAAAGTAGAAGTACTGTATAATTAATTATCCTCAAGGATTTCTTTAGCTTTATACTTTAAATGAAACTTTCCCATCTTTATTGTTGAGAATTTTATACTTACTTAATTTTGTATAGTTGATATGAAATGTAAAGTAAAAGTTAAAGAAGAATGTTTGTATAGAATGGTCATATATGTGTAGTACACTGACTTAACATCCTAGTAATTTGAACATTTTATTTTCATTCTCCATAGACTTTACAAAGTTAATTGATAGTGAGTATTTTATATGTATTGTTTTATAATGCTTGGTAAGTATTTAGTCCATTTCCTATTGCTTTAACAACATGCCTGACGTATGTAATGCATAAAGAAAACACATTGATTACAGTCGCAGTTTGGAGGCTAACCGTCCAAAACCAGGTCACTCCATCTGTTCATCGTCCAGTGAGAACCCCTTGGCTGTGTCCACACATGGTAAATGACACCATGGTAGGGGTTCCTAGGAGAGGGACAAGTCACATGATGAGATTGGAAGCCAGAGTGCACAGTGGGGCCAGTTATGCTCTTTTTTAATAACCCATTCTCTCACCAACTAGCTCCACAACACCAGCAACAATTCCTTCAAAGAGAAGTGCCCCCGGTGACGTAATTACTTCCCGGTACCCCCAGTTCTTAAGTGTTGCCCACCCTTAACACTGAGGACCAACCCTCCAGTGTAAGAACCTTGGGTGAATTAGTATGGCTATGTCTGGGTGTTCCCTAGAAGCCTCCTGTGGTGAGGCTTTGCAGAGATGGCTGCGTGTAGTGTGTGGTGGTGGGATTAAGGTTGTGTGCTCCTGGGATCATGGATGTGACGCTGGGATTGATTCACAGTGTGATGCTAGGATTAAGGGCATGAGTGCTACCTGCCCTAAGACAGAAAGAGGGCTGCTGTTGGTGTTGCTTGGCCTTCCTTGTTGCTTTGATGCTTTTTCTGCCTTCATTCTGCCATGAACTCTTGCTCCTCTGCCATGTCCCTCTGCCATGCCGACCTGCCTTGTAGCCAGTCAGTTATGGACTGAAACCTTCACAAACTGAGCTAAATAAACCTTTCCTCCTTTAACTTTGGGTGTCGGTATTTTGTCTCAGCAACAAGAAAAAGTAACTAAGGTATCAAACCACATATCAGCATATCAAACCACAACACCCACACATCACAGGAAGCATACTTTGTGGGAAGTAGGTGGAATGAAGTGTGAGCGCTGCACTCGGTATGTGTCTGGAGAGTTAGAGCCAGAGAGTGTGTCCTAGAACTAGGAAGTGAAGGCTGGGTGGAAGAGTGACAGTTGGTAAGACTGGCTGCCTTTTAGAGAGCAACCTTTCATCCCAGAAACCCAGCAACATTTATTTCTCCGCCCTGATTAATGCTCCTTTAATTTCCTGAGGGGAAATACAATACTATATAGAACAAGAATTAGCAAAGCTAAATAACTTTCATTTCATTTGAGACTTTCATTCCAAATGACAGTGCAGGTTCGGATATAGGGGAAAATATAACTCCCAAACTGCTAGATGTCAGATATGAGGAGTTCGTGTCCCCTAAAACCTAATGAATGGGGGAGATTAAGAATAGGGAAGATTTATTGAGAGAGCGCTCCCGAGAGACAGGAGGGGACTCGAAAGTGGGTTACTGCCAAGGTCACTTCTCTAAGAACGTTTTATAAGAGCAAAATCATGAGGGGGGTTAAAAAAAAATCACAAGGCGAGTGTAACATGGATCAAACTATAATCAGCCAATAAGACTACAGGTGTAGCCACTTAGCTAATATTGGTCTAATAAACAGGCAGGTCATGGAACAAGAGTATATGGAAGAAACAAAGCCATTTTGGGGAAGGGATGAGTCCAGATGCTCTGGTCACCTACCTCATACCTATCTAGACTTTCCTGGACTGTGTGATACCAGTTATGGTGTAATCCCTTGGGGAGCAGGTAGGCCTGGTTGTTGCATCTTTATCTTGAGGCCTGGCCGCCTTCAGATGCACCTCCAGTGATAATTCTGCTGTCTTTATGTTTTCTGCTGACCTCCTTGAGAGCCCAGTTCTGCTGTGACTGTATATTAATTTCTTTCTAACTTAATTGTAGGGGCTGGGGATTTAGCTCAGCGGCAAAGCGCCTGCCTGGCAAGCGCAAGGTCATGAGTTCGGTTCCCAGTTCAGGAGAAAAACCAAAAAAAAAAAAAAAAAAAAACTAACTTAATTGTAATACTTAAGCCTATAATAGTTGGACTTGGTGGGCATTCTGTTTGCTTACATTAGTGCCAGTCTGTCTCAAACTCTACCTCTGCAGTGAGATGAAAAGGATTTTTTGCTTGAGAAGTAGAGATGGACAAAAGAGTTTCTTCCTTTCTTGTAGAGAATATGGCCTTTTCTGTCCTGCAGGTTTTTCAGGTAAACAGCACATGGGAAAAGAGAGGAGGGAAAGACTGTGGGTATGAGGAGAAAGAGGAGAAATATGAATCTGTTTTGTGCTCTGCCAGCTGCCGGGAAGAAAGAGAAGAAAGGCCATGTCCTTGTAAACTTGATCTTTTAATCATGTGTTACCACCCATTTGAACAGTAGTTAATAAAATTCCCTTACAATTGACCAACACAGTCAGTTCTCCTCTTCCTTGGGGAGAAAGGAGCCTTGATTTTGGGGGGGAAGCAAATCTGAGAACAAGAATACCTGAGTCCCAACTCTGAAATCAGCATTTGAGGTAAGATGAACTGTAGAGGATCTTAAATACCAAGCAGAAGTATTTGAACTTTTTCTTTTTTAATTTTCACTGGATTTTGAATGTAAAATTTGGCTTTTCATTGTAGGAATTGGAGAATGATACAGGTTTTCAGCAAGCAGTAAGAACTAGTCATGGCAGAAGACCTCCAGTAAGTGAAATTGGAAAAGTTATGGTAAAAATGATGTGTACAGTTTACCATTTTAACCATTTTTAAGTGTCAGTCCCTGTAAGTGTTAAGTACACTCACATTGTCGTGAAACAGATCTTCAGAACTCTTTTATCTTGTAAACCTGGAACTCCATAGCCATTAGGCAGTAGCTCATGGGCCCCACTTCCCTCGGTGCCCAGTAACCACTATTCTGCCATGTGTGTGTGTGTGTGTGTGTGTGTGTGTGAACTTGACACCGCCATTCATTTCATAAGTGTAATTGTGGAGTGTTCATCTTTCCGTGACTGACATGCTGCACTTAGTATAAAGTCTCCAAGTTTTATCGATGTTGTAGCATGCTACAGGATTTTCTCCTTTTTAAGGTTCGTGCTGTGTGTGTGTACACATATTGTCTGTCCATTCATTTATCACTGGACACCTGGCCCATTTTTATTGTTGAATTGTAGGAGTTCTTTATATATTTTAGATATCAGTGTCTTTACAGATATATGACTTGCAAATATTTTCTCCCATTCTGTAAGTTGCATTTTCACGTTGTTGATTGTATTCTGTGATGCATAACTGTTTTTTAGTTTTATATAGTTGTACTTGTCTTTTTTTTTTTTTTTTGCTTTTATTGCTATGCTTTTAGTCTTGTATCATAAATATCATTACCAAGATTAATGCCATGAAGGTTTCTCCCCTATATTTTCTTCTAGGAGTTTTCATAGTTTTAGGTCTGTATTCTGGGTTAATTTTTATGTATAGTATAAGATAAAGGGCCAGTTTCATTCTTTTCCACATGCATATCTGGTTTTCCCAATACCATTTGTTGAAAAAACTGTTCTTTCCTCCATTTAACTGTCTTGGCATCCTTGTTAAAGATTATTTTACTGTATCTTTATTTCTAGGTCTCTTTTGTTTCTTTAGTCTGTATGTCTGGCTTTATGCCAGTGCCACACTATTTTGATTACTGTAACTTTTTTTTTATACAAACCTTTCTTTTTAATGAACTAAGACAAACTAGTAGTGTAACTGTTCTGTACATCTTTCCTTTTCCCTTCCTTTCTTTTCCATTTCCCCTACCCTAGTTCCTCTTTCCTTTTGAATAATTTCTTCCCATTTCACAGTATCTGTTGTACATTTTGGACCTTATTTACTCTTTCAGTTTCTCATGCTAGGAAGATAATACGATGTTTACATATGTGAGTCTGATTCATTTCACTTATGAGAATGGTTTCAAGTTATATCCATTTACCTATAAATGTATTAAGTTTATCCTTCTTTATGGCTGAGTAGTACTCCATTGTATAAAAAACACATCTTTTTATCCATTCCTCAGTTGATGGGCATTTGGGTTGTTTGTTTTCAAGATTTAGCTATTACAAATTGTGCTGCTGTAAACATGGGTACATATTTATTGCTGTGGTACGAATTCTTCTGTATTTCTTTTGCTGTGGTATATGGTATCAGTTCTTCTGAGAAGATACTCGGAAAGGGAATAGCTGAGTCAAATGGGACCTGTAATCATAGTTTACTGAGGAATCTCCAGACTGATTTCCACAGTGACTGCACCAGTCTACACTCCCACCAACAGCAGAAAAGGGTTCCTTTTCCCCCACAACCCCTCAGCATTTGCTATTGGTGGATTTCTTGGTGACAGCCATTCTTTCTAGGGTGAGATGGAATCTCAGTGTTGTTTTAATTTGCATGTCTCAAATGACCAGTGATGTTGAACATTTTTTCATATATTTATTTATCATTTGTATTTCTTCATCTGGAAAGTGTGTATTTATCTCAGATGTCCATTTTTGGATTGAGTCTTTGAATTTGGGGCATCTGATTTTTTCCAGTTCTTTATACTTGGTATTAGTTCTTTGTGAGAGGGACAAGTAGCTAAAATTTTTTCCCACTCTGTGGGTTTCTTTTTGCTGTGTTGGTGATTTCTTTTGCTGTGCAAAATCTTTTTAATAAGATGGGATCCCATTTGTCAATTCTTTGTAGTATTTGCTGTGAGGTCTAGGTTTCCTAGTCTTAAAAAAATGAATTTGTTCCATGCAACAACATGGACAAATGTCAAAATAATTATACTGAATTAAAGAAGCTAAACCAAAAAATGTACTTTTGATTTCACTTGGATGCAACTGGCGCACTCAAACTAATTTATGACAAAAGCTGGTTAATGCTTCCCAGAGGATGGAGGGAACGGAGTAGGGAGGACAAGCAGGATGGGGGTTACCAAGTGGCGGGAGGAAATTCCTGGGAATGATGGTTACGTTCGCTATCTTAACTGTGGTGTTGGTTTCACAGACATATGCATATGTCAAAACTAAACAAACTGTGTAATTTATATTTTTGGAGAGAAGGTCTCACTGTGTACCCTCAGAGGGACCTCTAACTAGTGGTTCTCAGGCCTCGGCTTTCTTAGTGCTGGGATTACAGGCACTCAGCCTGCTAAACTGAATATTTTAAATGTATGTATTTTATTGTACGTTCAGTATAAGGCTGTTAATATAAAAAATTTTTTCCATTTCTAGAACTATGTGAAAGCCATAGACTTCTTCTGGTAGAAAAGAACCTAGAAAAGAAATAAAAGTCTTCACAGTTTATGAGGTTTTTTTCAAGTCCTTCCTGGAGCAGAGAATAGGAGAGCCGTGTTTTGTAGTTTTGCACATTCCTTTCCTCCACACTATTATAGATGATCTTGTGCTTCCTTTTTCATGCTGGAACTGTTAGACCATTTCCATTTCTTTCTGCTGTACCATCAGTAATCAGTTTGTGTTTGTCTTATTCTTTCTGCTCTTTTAAAAGGTCTCTCAAATTCTTCCCCCACCTTCTCTCTCTTTTTAAATATATTCCCCTGCTGTCTTTACAGAACTGGCCAACAGACTGTCTTTTTGGGATTAATATAATAATTTCATAACTGATTCCCTTCTTCTAGTCTAACCCATGTTACCTCAGTTCTTAGACTGATAGTTTAGTTAGCATTATTAAACATTTATGTATATCGAACTGAACTTTTCTATTTATACAAAAGGTGATATTAGGATTTTGGTAGATATTATATTGAATCTGTAGGTTTCTTGGGGGTAGTGTAAAATCTTAACAACAGTAAATCTACTTTATGAACCCAGGGAATCTTCATTTGTTTGTGTCATCTTTAATTTCCTTCAGCAATGGTTTATAGTTTTCAGTGTACCTAGTAAGTAAATTTTTAAAAATTTAATTGAGATGTTAGTTTTCCATTATCATAGTGAAATATGTGCAGCAGGCCAACTTTATAAAAAAAAAAAAAAGAGGCATATTTAGTTCATCATTTTGGAGATCAAAAGTCCATACAGCATAACACGTCTTTTGCCGTGTGCGGGAAGAAGTATCTCATCTTGAACAGGAAGCAGAGGAGGGCTTAGGGGCCAGTCTCAGGCTTTTGTAATCACTTGCTTTCATGAAACCAGCGTTCCCTTGTGAAGGTACTCCCAGTGACCCCTATGAGAATGACAGGTACCAGCCTAGTACCATCCAGTATTACCACCCTGGAGGCCAGGCCTGCATGCTCTGGAACAACCACAGCGCAGAGAATGATTGTACAGATTTACAGGTCATTTACAGTGAATTTTCAAGTATTTTAGATCAAAGTATTTCTTTAGGTTCTTGAAAATATAAATCTTGTTTATATAAAGCATTAGAATACTTTTTTTAACCAGGAACATTCATTATTTTAAAAATATTGCCTTTCTAATTTTTAAAGTAACATAAATACAGACCCTGAAGGACCAGAGTAAGGGCAGGGTACAGGTTCAAATCTGCCAAGGGAAGAGACATATGGTCAGAGTTTGGCAGTGGCCCATGTTTGTCTTCTCTGTGGAGACGGATGGGTGACAGGCATAGCGTGTGACAGCATTCAGAGTATCGTCAGCCAGGGAAAGCCACCGAGGACCTTGATATCCAGAGTTTTTACTGGGGTTCAATGCCCTTCAATCTTCAGCCCCTCAGAGGTTCAAGCTAGTGTTAGTGATCAAAGCCCCAGGCAAACAAAGATACTCCTATCAAGCAGGCCTTTCTAGGGCTCTAGAGGTCACCTCTTAGGAGCCAAGGGAAAAGAGAAGACCTCTTTGGGTAAAGCTAATTCACATCTCCCTCCCTCCTCTCCCCCTCCCCCTCCCTCTCATCCTCCTGAGCCAAGCCGTTCCTGCATCACTGCCTTCCACTTTCTCTGTCCAGTGTTTTTTCTTGGCTCTGCCAGTGAGGCAGAGTTTGCTCTGGACGCCTGCCCAGAGTTGAAGCAGTGCTGGAGCCCCTCCCCCTCCCCCTCCCCCTCCGCCTCCGCCTCTGCCTCTGGGGACTGAACCAAGGGCCTTTACACTGATATACATCCCCTATCCCCAACTGTTTTTTTCAAGACAGAGTCTCCTAAGTTGTCTAGGCTGGGCTTGAACTTGCATTCCTCCTGCTTCCGCCTCTTGAGTGTGCTACCACACCCAGCTTGGGCACCCATCACACAGCTTGTATTTTAGTTTTAAGGTCAACCTCATTATGGAAAGAAAAACTATAGGTAGTAGGTTTTTCCACTAGGCTAGTGGTGTGACTGAGAGCTTTTTGAAGATGCTGTGTCACCCAGTTCTCTCTTCCATGTTTACTCTGTGTGCTCCTTGAGCTTTCACTGAATGACTTAATGTATTAGTGAATTTTGTCTTCAGTTAATGATTTCAGGTGTCAGACAGCAGGTGCTGATTTTGCCTTGTTGGTCCTTCGAAGATCTTTAGAAGCAACTTCAGAGATCCTTTGTTTGATAGATGAAGCCGAAGCCTGGAGAAGCAATCTCATAGCTGTCTGTAACTGGGATACAGTGTAGGTCTTTTGATCCACTGTTGAATGGCATTTTCATCATCCCTTACATACTAGATTGGAAAAAGCTTCATAAGCTTAGATGAAAGATACGAGGCTCACTTGAGGTAAAATTCTAATTAGTTCGTAAGGGGTGTAAGAGCCTCCAATGGGAAATAAAATGGACCCAAACAGCTACTACAAGGCATAATGTGGCAAGTTGTAAAAAAAAGAGTGCACTGTGAATTGCTGTGGGATCACAAAGGGAAGTTACTTACCATGAGCTGGGCAATCATAAGCAGCTGTTTAGAAAGTAAACTGAGGGTTGAATATTAAAGCATCTTGAGACCTTGAGACACAGGAGGGAGGCACTGCAGCGAGGATGGAAGGACAAGGGAAAAGACAGCGAGGAGCCGCTCAGTGCTGCGCTGCCGTCAAAGAACAAAACCCCAGGTGGAGTCACCCGAGAGTAGATTGAAAACAGCCCTTTTCCTCAGTCTGTTCTCGTGGAAGAAGCTGCTGCGGCCCATCTCCTTCCTTCTAGCCCTTTCTGAGACTGGGAGCCTATCTCCTCAAACACGAGGTGTCAGCCTTGGAGTACAAGGCAAAGAAGCAGTGATAAGAGCTCACCAAGCAGCCTCATGTGTTCACGTCTGTAATTCAGAGACCTGCTTGCCTAGAAAAGCAGCAGATACGTATTTTTCCTTCAGATGATATTTTTTGTTGTTACTCTGTTCAAAATATTTGCTAATTTGCATTGTGATTCCTTCTTTGACCCATGTATTGTTTTTTTATGTTTTTGTTTTTTTT